AAAAAAAAAAAAAAGTACCAAAAAAAAAAGCCTCGATTAGATCAATTTACATATTTCACGCAATTCCTTTGGTTATGTGTAGTTTATTTGAGTTTTTATGTGTTATTAACTTATTATGTAATGATGGATTAGCGAAAATAAGTCGAACTCTCAAATTGCGGTCGGCGTGCCTCTGTGTTCCTAGCATGTAGAAGCCACGTAGCCTGTGACATCTGTCTGCACCGCGCCATTCGATGGAGCAATTGTGACTGCAAAAATTGGATGCGGTGCTTCCATAGTCCACACCCGCACCGGTCCTGTCCGGTCTGTAGGGGTGGCCACTTACCGTAGGAAATAACTGCTGCTCAACCAAAAGATTTTTGCAGCACTGTGCCATTCTAGAGTAGTCTGTTCCAGTGACGAGTGAGTGTTTAGAATTCTGCGAAGTCCGTCATACACCTCTCCCCTGCCCTTTGCATCTCATAATCTATCCTTCCCTTCTGATGTTTGTTTCCTGCCCTTTATCGTCCACCTATAGAACTCCGCCTTCTATCCCTTTCCCTCCACCTCCCCTCCACCCTCCCCTTTTGTGCTACTAGCAAATACATACGAATGAGCATCGTTGAGAAGTATGAAGATGAAGGACAGACACAAAGACTAAGTATAAGCTGAAGATCTGAAGTGAAATGAACAGTAGTATGAACATCTGAAGAGAAATGCACAGGAGCACACCTTCCCTTTTATACCCCACACTCCTATAGAACTCCGCCTTCTATCCCTTTCCCTCCACCTCCCCTCCACCCTCCCCTTTTGTGCTACTAGCAAATACATACGAATGAGCATTGTTGAGAGAACAGACGGTATGAAGATCGGAAGTGAAATGAATGGAAGTATGAAGATGAAGGACAGACACAAAGGCCAAGTATAAGCTGAAGATCTGAAGTCAAATGAACAGTAGTATGAAGATCTGAAGAGAAATGCACAGGAGCATACCTTCCCTTTTACTCTGCCTCCTGTTGTAACGTGCAAGTGGGCCGCTAAATCACATGGGGATGTGGGCAGCTGCTGCTCAACTTGGGCAGCCTTGTACGTGTGAGGCATAGTAAAAGAGGAGTTGTTGCCCCAAAGAAACTCCAGCTAAACACAGCTCTAAACACTTCTATTATGATTCATGTTACTTGCTAAAGAGGTGAAAATTTTTAATTATCGAGCTGGTTCAACTTGTATCTACTCGTCTGGATGGAATTGGGGCTGTTATGCTGCAATTTTTAAAATACACACACACACACACACACACACACACACACACACACACACACACACACAGCTGGCACTCAACCACAATCAATGTGGACAGCCTTGTCCGTGAGAGGCACAGTAAAAAGGGCGACCTTTTTTCGATCTTAACTTCGTCCACAGCTGAGAGCCTTGGGGAACGGACACGTCACCACACAGCACACCAAGCCACGCCCCAAGGCGTGGCACTGGTGAGAAAAGGACAGAGGAGGGGCAAGGAGGAGAGAAAGAAGAAGAGTTGAAGGAGGATGAGACAAAGATCAACCCAGAAAAAGGAGAGAAAGACAAGAAGAGGGAGGACGTTGAGCAGGGACAACAGAGAAGAGCAAAGCAGGAAAGGAAAGCTTTCCAAACAGGGAAGGTACAAGCAAGGGCGAGGAAAGGAAGAAGAAGGGAGAACAGGACAAGGAAACAAAGGAGAAGCGAGCAGTGAAGACAATACTCAAGTAGGAGCCATACGGCTGAACGGAACAAGGAGCGAGAGACAGAAAACACACAAGATGAGAGGTGAGATCGTTCCTCTCAACTAACGCCGGCGGCAAAGCAGGAAGGGGGCAAAGGGACCAAGAGATCGTGCAAACGGACGAAAGGACAACGCGAGGACATCATCATCACACGAATCGCTAGGAAGCGCCACAGCATTCCCCAAAAGCAAAATACCGATAACGCGCCGTTCGATCTTTAAATTTTTCTAAGTTTAGTAGTTGCGCGCGTTAGGATTTGTGAGATAGAGTATGAAGTAGACAGACCCTTTCACTGTAGCAACGAATTCCAATTCTGCCCACTACCGTACGAAATCGAACAAAGAAAGAATACCTACTCCTTTCGTCATATTTGGAAGATAACCTATAGACCGGCCATCGTCGGCACAAATTCATCCGTGTGATTCCACACTTGGAAGACAGGACTGACTAGATACATCACGAAACCTCAAAGACTACATGAAGGAGAGGGGGGACAAGACAGACCACCGGTAAATATAGGAATAGAGAAGACGTTATCAGGCGCTCGGCTCACCAAAAGAACGGGAAGAGATAGGTAAAGGGCAAGGTTGGTTGGCAGTAAAGCCAAACATTTTTTGACAATTCTTTCGACTGCACTCGACCGTAATCAACAACGAATTCTCGCACCAATCCGAAAAGCTTGCAGCGGCAAACACAAACAAAGTGTCAATCCTCTTGCTGATTCCTCAACTTACCTTCCCAACCTAATCAACCACTCGCAATACCTTTTCTTTTCTCTTTAGGTATTAAGCGTTATTGCCAAGTTATTATTCATCATTTAATATTTTAACCATTATTGACAGTTGCTATTCATCAGTTAAACTTATTTATTTATTTATTTATTTATTCATTTTTACTTCAATTTTTTAATGATCTGTTATTGTTTTAATCATCATTTAACAATTCATCAGAGATTCCTTTTCACACATCAAATAAAGCAAACACTAGAGCAAGCTGACTGACCTCAGCAACGCTCCCCAGCTTTCTCCCATCGAAGAACTACCCTTCGACAGGGAAACACCCTCGGGGAAAGCAAACTCCGCCCTTCTTCGGCGACGACTGAAGGAACCTAAGAACCACCAAAGAAGGTGACCGGTTCTTCAACCAATTCACACTTCAACACAAACCACGAGTGTAGACTTAGGGTTGGGAGCCTGCGTGGAAAGTCTCACAAACTCAGCACCAGTCAGCATGTCGGCTTCATACGCACAAGCATTGAGACGGAACAACAAGGGAACTAAAGGAACTGATCAGGGGTCTTCTCCCAACAGGAAAACTACCCACTCTATCTCCTCATGGGCAGAGTCCAAAACAGCCCCAGCTACTGGTGGCAAAGTATAAATCTGGGAGTGCCCAGAAGAAAACGAGGGTGTGGCGAAGTATAAATCTGGGAGTGCCCAGAAGAAAACGAGGGTAGATTGAATGGAGTGCATGAGAGACACACTGTCCTATTCAATTTTCCGCGCAAATGTTCAGACATGTCCCAAAATGACAAGGGAAGCTGGGTCAGAGACAGGCTCAGGGCCTTGCAGGGAATCAAAGACACACAGCCCGATGTCACTCACCACAAACGTGCAAAAAATATCGTCATGATTGTGAGCCTGGATCAGTCCTACATACAATATCTGATCTCCCTGGGCAGCCTTCAGTGCAAAAAAGGGATAGTCACAATCACAATATGGATGCCTAGAAGGGTACCTCAGCCTGACTCGTCTAGACACAGACAAACCATGTTGAGAACACTCTTCTGGGTCCAGTTTGATTATCTGACGGAAGGCCTCCACAGTTTTGTGGAAAGAAGACTCGATGAAGCTTACCCCAACAACCCGGTTATTGAATGGTTAGCTTCAAGTCCAGACTTCCTCGCACCAAATCATGACTCAAGAGTAGCTTGCTTATAGGTATCCTCCGGATCACCAACCCCCTTCCCCGATGAGTGGCTGCTCCGAAAGAACGAACAAGATCTCACCGTATATCTCTCTACAAAAGTGAATTCCAAATGCTTCAAGTGTAGCGGAAAGGGGCATCTGGGCACCGATCGTAGATGCCCGCTGAACAAGGACAGCGTCAGAAACGTGGGAGCTTAGCAGCCCAACTCGATCGAATGTGAGACAAAACCAGGGCTGTGGTATGTCAACGACCCGTTGTACAGGGGTTGGGTCTTTGACGATACCTTGGATGAACCAAAATGGGTCTGGGTCCTCCAGGAAGAACCAAAAATCCAACT